CCACCAACAGTGTAGGAGGGTTCCCCTTTCTCCGCATCCCTGCCACATCTGTCGTTTCCTGACTTGCTAATTTTAGCCATTCTGACTGGTGTGAGGTGGTATCTCATTGAGGTTTTGATTTGGATTTCCCTGATGCTGAGCGATGTTGAGCACTTTTTCATGTGCCTGTTGGCCATTTGGATGTCTTCTTTGGAAAAATGTCTCTTCATGTCTTCTGTCCATTTCTTGATTGGATCATTTGTTCTTTGGGTGTTGAGTTTCATAAGTTCTTTACAGATTCTGAATACTAGCCCTTTATATGATTTGTCATTTGCAAATATCTTCTCCCATTCTGTCAGTTGCCTTTTGGCTTTGCTGACTGGTTTCCTTTGCTGTGCAAAAGCTTTTTATTTTGATGAAGTCCCAATAGTTCATTTTTGCCCTTGCTTCCCTTGCCTTTGGCAATGTTTCTAGGAAGAAGTTGCTGTGGCTGAGGTTGAAGAGGTTGCTCCCTGTGTTCTCCTTTAGGATTTTGATGGACTCTTGTCTCACATTTAGGTCTTTCAACCATTTTGAGTCTATTTTTGTGTGTGGTGTAAGGAAATGGTCCAGTTTCATTCTTCTGTATGTGGCTGTCCCATTTTCCCAACACCATTTGTTGAAGACACTGTCTTTTTTCCATTGGACATTCTTTCCTGCTTTGTTGAAGATTAGTTGACCATAGAGAGCCATTTCTGGGCTCTCTATTCTGTTCCATTGATCTATGTGTCTGTTTTTGTGCCAGTACCATACTGTCTTGATGAATGTTTTTATTTTATCTTCACTTTTGAAAGGCAGCAGTTTTGCAGAATAGAGGATTCTTGGTTGACAGCTTTTTCTTTGATCACTAAGTGTTACCCCACTGCGCTGGTCTCCATTAATTCTGCTGAGAAGTTACTTGCTGACCTATCTGGGGTTCTGTGGTAAGCGGTGAGTCATCTTTCTCTCCATGCCTTAAAGATTTTCTCCTTGCCTTTGACCTTCAGCATTTTTACCATGATGCATTTCATTGTGGAACTTTTTGAGTTTATCCTATTTGGAATTAGCTGAGCTTCCTGAATGTATAGGCTACTGTTCATTAATAAATTTGGGAAATTTTCAGCCATTATTTCTTCAAATATTTTTTTCTGCTCTTTTCTGCCCTCTTCTGGCATTATATGTATGATGGGGCACTAATGGTATCCCACATTTCTCTAAAGCTCCGTTCATTTTTTTTTGCAGACTGCATAATCTCTAGTCATCTATCTTCAAGTTTGCTAATTCTTTCTTCTGCCAATTCAAATCCACTAATGAGCGAATTTTTCAGTTCAGCTCTTGTACTTTTTAACTGCATAATGTCCATTTGGTTCTTTTTTATAATTTCTGTCTCTTTACTGATATTCTTTATTTGATGTGACAATGTCATCAGACCTTCCTTTATTTTGTTAATCATGATTTTCTTGAGTTCTTTGGACATACTTATAATGGCTACTTTGAAGTCATTGCCTATTAAATCCAGGATCTGATTGCTCTCACTGGCAGTTTCTGTTGCCTGCTTTTTTTCCCCAGTATATGGCTCATACTTCTGTTTCTTTGCATGTCTTGCGATTTTTTTATTGTTGAAAGTTGGGCATTTTTTAGTGAAGTCTACTTCTCCTCCTCTCTGCCCCCCTCCAGTGTGAAGCCTCTAACATTGCCCCAAGCTGGTATAACCTTGGGTATTCCCCTGGTTTCCATTCGAAGACAGTGGTTTTGACAGGGCTCCCTTTGTCCCTTTCTCTGACCACACTCAGCTGTGGAACTTCACTAATCAAAGCTGATTACTCTGTTGTGTTTTATAATGCCCGCGGGAATAAACTGCATTGATCTAATCAAGTTTGGGCTTTTCTTTTTTTTTTTTAAAGATTTTATTTATTTATTCATGAGAGACAGAGAGAGAGAGGTAGAGGGAGAAGCAGGCTCCCAAGGAACAGGGAGCCCGACGTGGGACTCGATCCCAGGACCCTGGGATCATGACCTGAGCCGAAGGCAGACGCTTAACCATCTGAGCCACCCAGGCGCCCAAGTTTGGGCTTTTCTAAAGGGACAATTTCTGTGGGCAATGTTTGAGATTTGTTCTGATCCAAGGGCTCTTTCCAGCTGTCTCTTTCACCATTTTCTCACCAAACTAGACTGTCTATAGATCAGCCTATATATCCAATGACTCCATTATTCTCCTACCTATTGCCTATCACCAAAAACTCCACTGTTTTGACAGCACCCTTAGGCTTGAACTTTTTCACTGATTTGCAAATGAAGTCGGTTCCTTTGGGAGAGATTCAGGAGTTCTCTGTTCTTTGGTCTGCTTCTCCTCTCTCCACCTCTACCAGGCAAAAGCTCAAGAGGTATGGCTCTGATGTTGGGGACAGGGACAATGGTGCCCACTATTTGTTGAGTGACATACCCACTACAGGAGCTGAGTACTTGTGGAAGGAAAGGCAGCAGACCCAGGCATCCTCAACTTGCTTCACATGGCAGGGAATTCACACCTTTAAGCTGTGGCGAGGATGACCGGTGCCTGGGTGCCCAGTAAAAGAATGGAGCCCCCACTTCTCAGCCACACTTGCCTGGAATATAACTTCAGCGTAGCTTGGGGGCAGGATGAGAAATATTGATATCCTGCCTCTCACAGGATGATAGCCCTCCTACTGGGAGCTGGGGAGAGAGAAAGCCTTATGTTCTTGGATCTACCAGTCTGGAGTAGAGTTTCTGTCTTACTGAGCTGGGAGAAGTGAAGAAGGGAGTGGTCTTGGTTCAAACACCACACAGACTTCTGCTGCTTTACCAAGTTTTAGTAGATTTTCTTAAATAAATGTTTCTCCATTTGCTATATACCCTTAGGACTATTTTCAGAGAATTTAAATGCTTTCTTTTAAATAATTTCCACTGGTTTTACTGGGGAGTAGGTCAGCAGAGCTCTCTATGTTATCAGGCCAGAAGTGGAACTCTTTTAAGCTCTTGAGTACAGGTTTTTGAGTGGACAGTATGCTTAAAATGCTCTTGGGCATTTACCTAGGAATGGCCTTGCTGAGTCATTTAGTAACACTAACTTTCTGTGATTTTACAGATTATTCCTTTAAACATTGAGACTACAAGGAGAGCAAGAATTTTCTCTCAGCCACGCACACAAATCTGTGTTTAATATTGCTTCCTCAGCTTATGAAGACAGCAATGCGGAGATAGGTATTCTACCCATCTGGAACATGTGATGCACTCATCAGCTAGATGTGAGCAGCAAAATTCACCTTCCACACCCTGTCCTCCTTCCTGATAAATATTACTATCACCAAAACAAGAGGCCAGCTAAAATTTTATACTGTCTGCTCCGTTTCAACAAATTTTGTCTTGTACACCACAACAAGCTTTCACTGAAAGTATGCGTAAGTTTTCAATGAGGACAAAATTTCTAAAGACGACTCTGGGGTCCATCTGGGTATTTTTCAGCACAGAGATTCTACTATCAGGTAAGGGCATTCTATATTAACACACCAAAACATTTTTTTGTAAAACCAAACTTGGGAGCAGAAAAACAAAAACAAACCAACCATTTTAATTATTAAAATAAATACACATTTAAACAAAATATGCATGAATTTTGAGATAAAACAGAACATTTCAAAGAGCTATTTGAGCTTTCAGCTACCACTTCGGGTGCTGCCTTCAGATTCTTCAGGATCCACATTGCACTCACTTATCACAGCAGTTAGAAGTACTTAGGTGGAAACATTTGAGAAGCCCTGCCCTGAACAATCACATTATAATGATAACACACACACACTTACACACACAGCATCCTATTTACATTAAAAACTCCTTCAGGATAGAACTATGGCTACTATTCTGCATATTCTCAATAAGCTTATTAAAGCATGCTACTCACAGTGGGGATGAAATAGATGATATTTTAAAGAGATCCCTAGCAGTAAGGCTGATGAGACTGAAAACAAAAGGACGAGGATCAAAGGATCCTTACAGGATTGCCTGTGAAAGCTTAGATATTCTAGCCGAAACCTGAACAGAAGAACTTACGCTGACCCCTCACCACATGATATGTAACAAGTTGATTTAATACTGTAGTCAGATTAAACAAATACTCTTTAAAAGGTTAACAAGTCTAATCAGAGGAAGGAGTCCTTAAATAAACTGTTTGCCTTGGGGGAAAAAACAAAACAGAAGTAAACTACACTGAAACATGTCAGGTGTTTAACCATTTTATCATGCCCAACCTCAGCTATCCACTGTTTTTTAGCCACAATATGTAGAAACTGATATTACATAAAGAAAAGTATAACAACACAGATTCAAACTAACCTTGGGGTTCATTGACCAACATCAAGCATTTTAAGACACCAGGGAGGAGCAGTTGAACCTCAGAAATGTCTATGCTAGTGTCTTTGAAGAGCTGCAGGACGAAGGCCAGAATAGAGGCTAAGCGAGGAGGGAGCAAGGACCCTTTACACTCCAAGTAGGACTTCCTAAAAAGAAGCACAATTTTGTTTTTTCTTCTAGTTAAAGTTTCAATGAACAGAATCAAATGTCATACACTTTAAAGATACTGACAAATTTTACCCCCCAAATTAATAAAGCACAATTAAAAAAAAAAATGTGTATTTTACCATACTATCCTCAAGCATAAAAATTTAGAAGCAACGACTGCACATCTTTGCTGCGTTATAAGGGCCAAAGCAGAATACAGACACAAACGAAATTTAAAACCTGATCTTTAAACGAACTTAATCAAAACCCAAATGAAAACCTAATTGTTAATTTTTTTTTTCCCGTTCTAATATGAGCCCGATTTCCTCTATCAGCTCCTCAACAATGCAACATTTTCTTTAATGTCAAATTTGCATAAAGAAATCTCTCCTCACATTTATTTATTTAGGGATTTGGGAAGGGTCTTATTTTTCCAAATCAATAAGAGGACTGTCCTAGGAATTAGCTTCCCATTCCAGCTTTACCTCTTTCTTTCTCTTAGGAAGTAAAAAAATCAGAGGTAGTTTATTTAATATTTTCTCTGAAAGCAAAACAAATTTTAGCATTTTAAGTCAACAGAGATCATAAAGATAATTTATCTTACTCATTTTTCTCTCTCTACCTCTTAGGCAGGTGTTGGCTCATAATAGGTATTCAGTAGATATTTAAGTGAATAAATGAAAGTGGGAATTGCTCAGTTTCTAAAAGGTCTAGGCAACATGAAAAATTGCCAAATATAGCTAAATCTAAGCTAGACATCCAATGTACTTGCAAAGCAATAAAATTTGCCAAAATGAGCCATGGAAATCACTAAGGATTATAAAGTCTTTGAGGGCAGGAACTATGTCTTCATCATCATTTCTACTCCATACAGTGGCTTCCAACAAATACTCCATTTTAGTAGATTCATTCAATCTCTGAGGACAAGGGTTTTGTCTTTTTGGTTCACCGTTGAATTCCTAGACCAAACATTTATTGTGCACCTACAGTATATCAGGTACAATGTAAGAATGAAATGGTAAATACGGTCTCTAAGGCAACGGGCTCACTGTCTAGTGGAAGAGTTGGACAAGGAAAAAAATAAAATAAAAAGGCTATTATAATGTAATGTGATAGGTGCTTTGAAAATAACCCCAGAATTCTCAGGGATTCAGAGGAAGGAGCCTCAACAAAGATGGGGAACTGCAGGAGTGGAGAAGCATGGAATGGAGGGGTATTGTGGGTTTGGTTGCATATCACTATAATAAAGCAAATGTCACCATCAAGTGAAATGAATTTTTTGGTTTCTCAGTGCATATCAAACCTATGTTTACACTCTGTTGTAGTCTATTAGGTGTGCAACAGCATGATGTCTAAAAAAAACAACGTATATACCTTAACTTAAAAATACTTTATTGCTAAAAAAACCTGCTAACCATCATCTGAGCTTTCAGCCAGTTGTAGTCACCGATTACAGATCACCATAACCAATATGATAGTAACAAAAAAGTCTGAAATATTGTGAGAACTACCAAAATGTAACACAGAGACATGAAGTGAACAAATAATGTTGGAAAAATGGTGCCAACAGACTTGCTGGATGAAGGGCTGCCACAAACTTCCAAGTTGTAAAAAACAGTATCTGTGAAGTGCAATAAAACAAGGTATGCCTGTATATTGCCGTAGCATCTTAGTTTAAAAGCTAATTTCATATGAAGCCAGATACTCCACGAAGACAAAGAAAAAAAAAAAACTTCTATTACTGAATCTTCTATTGTTGCTGTTAAAGGGTAACAGAGAACCTAAGAGGTTTCACTTATGCATCTAATAATAAAATCAAAGACAGAGAGGAGACCAACAAAACAGGACTTCTTAGTACTTCCTTTTTCATATTAGCATTCATTTTTTCACTTAGTTGTTCTCTTTTAAAAATATAAATAATGTGTTTTCTATAGTAGAAAATACACTTACTGTTTATCTGATAAGAACTAAGAAAATACGTATCTTTAGGACATGTATAAGAAAAATAATAGCTATGTAGATAAAACAATTTAAAGAGCATTGACTCAGGCTGCCAAGAGCAAAAGTCATTTTAGTAAATTCTTAGAGACAATGTTTCTCAGGGAAAATGAAAGTTTCTAAACTACCAGCATCCCAAGGGTTGCCAACACTTTGGGATGCTTTGTTACTTTTTAATAAAGATTAATACATTGTAAATACCACTTGTTTTTAATATTTAGATGTACCTTATGACTTGTACGATGCATTTCTTTAGAGGTGATATCAGTGGAACAGCGGCGGAGTTTCTCAATGCCAACAAAACAGGGTGTTGTCCGAGACCCGAAACATGCGGGGACGATGGAAGAAACCGCCCAATATACTGCTCAATAACACTCCCTAGTAATTGGTTCAAATAGGCATTTGGATTTTGGGACTGACCACACACGATACACATGCCCTACAGGAGAAAAAAGAAAAGAAATAGTAAAAGGCAAAGTTAAAAAAATATATACTGAGGAACTTATTTAGTCCCTAGCATTAATATTCATGTCAGAATATGTCACCCATAATCAACAAAGGCACAGCCCAACATCAACAGACGATGTGAATATGAGGCTCAGGGACTTGCTGAGCTTGGGTGAGATCCATGGGGTGGTATCTAACCAAACACGCGTGCCTTCGGGGTGTACGCAAATGAAGCAGGGGAGAAGTGCAAGAAGACAAAGGAAGCTTCCTTCTTCCTCTCATACCCAGAGAACATGACCACCACACTCATCAACTACATTTGTGTATTATTTCAAAGTAATAAAATACATTTTTAAGTCAGTTTTTTTATGTAAGTACTGGTCATTTATCTGAGTGACACTACAGAATTTATACTAAAAATCTCCCATGGTAAGAAATGTGATAAATTAAAAAAAAAAATTGACAGGAGAGAAATACAGAAGAGTACAACTCTGATTAATGACTATTTTAAGAGTTTCATGTGTCAGGCATTGTGCCATGTGCTTTATATCCTTTACTTCATTTAAATTTCTCAAAAGAACAATGAGTTGGTTATTATCACATCTCTGATTTCATAGCTGGGGAAACTGAGGTTTAGAGAAGTTAAGAGTTCTGTTGATTTAATCTCTTCCATTTGTATAGAAATTAACAAAGTTAACAAAATAATTCCGTGTGGATTACGGTATTTGATACTTACAAATAATGAAACCAATACCCTGAGAAATATTTTTTCTGCCATTGTTACTAAATACTGCATATTAATAAAATACAATCACCAACACAATGACAAATTATGTGCTAAAAGTTCATTTATAATTTGGTACTTCGCAATTAGCAACGTGTTTTCCTAGAGAAATAATTAGAAATGTTTATGTATCCATTTTAGCTATAAATGAAAGATTATTTGTAATAAAAGTAGCATAGAGCTGTTGACACTATCAAACAACAACTGGGAAAAAAAAAAGCAACGAATACCTCTCCAAACAGTTTCTTCAATGTTTTTGTTTAAAACAAAGCACATTATTAGATGATGAATACATAGGTATGTTCAGAAAACTCTGAAGAGGAAAGCTGAGTACCTTTAATAAATTAAAGGTATAGCTCTAAGTCAATTCTGACAAATGGATAAATTCACCAAAATTTTCAATTAACCACTTATGAAGTATTATAAGAATTTTTTTTTTTTTTTTAATTAGGCTTCCTCCACACCCAACATGGGGCTTGAACTCACGACCCTGAGATCAAGAGTCCCATGCTCTACCGACTGAGCCAGCCAGGCACCCCTAATACGATATCTTGTTGTACTATTTTGGCTTAAGAGGGAAACAGAGAACACGTTTTTCAGACTCTCCTGCTGCCCGAGATTCCTCCCCACCCATATTCCCTGATTGGCAATACTTTATCTTTCTGCCAGCAGACACACTAAACTTTATTATGTTATTACCAATACAAAATTAAAAAGCCAACTTAAAATTTCTTAGAAACTGTAAAAATCTGTTTAAAAAAATCTACCTGTGGAAAAGACTGATTACCTAATCACATTCTGTTCTCCCTTTCTTCCTCAAGTTTCCCTTGTTGAACCCCAAATTAAGAAGCACTTATCTTCAGTATGAGACACCAATGAAAAACAAAGCTTCCAACTCTGTGCTTTCCCCTGAATGACAGATTAATATTTCCAAGTGCCTACCTAGATATTGCACAGCACCTCAAACGAAAGCTGTTCAGAAATCAATTATTAGCTTCATCCCCACATCTCCAGAATTGCCCATGTTAGTTAGCAACACTACTATCTGCCTAAGCAGCCACTCCGGAATCTAAGAAGTATTCCATTTCTTTCTGTTTCTCCACAGCATTCACTTAGCAAGTATTTTTAATCAGACCTCCTACATGTTTCTGCAGTCTGCTGTGCGAGTTCTATACCCGCTCACTTCGTTCAAAAACTTCAGATAATGCACAATTCACTGCCTTCCAAGTCTCCAATGTAACGCCCACACCAACCATCTTAGATGCCACCGGCATCACCTTTCTTTTTTTCTTTTTATTTTTTTATTATGTTATGTTACTCACATAATTACATCATTAGTTTTTGATGTAGTGTTCCATGATTCATCGTTTGCATATGACACCCAGTGCTCCATGCAGTACATGCCCTCTTTAATACCCATCAC